GCCCCTTCTCCCCACTGCCCCTTCCGGTGGAATCCTGCCCCTTCCAGCTTCCTATGCCTGCTGGCCACTGGCCTTTGCCATCCCCCAAAGAAAAACAGATTGGGAATGAATTGGTGGGTGGCTGGCCTTGGTGCCTCTGGTGTGGGAGGCTGTGGAAGTGCTGGAAGATGGTGCCAAGGAAGCGCCAGGGAAGCAGGATGTGCACTTGGCTCTGAAGGCAGCCCCGAGGCCGATGTGGCCCTGGTGGAAAAGCGTCCGATGCCCTGGTGTACAGAGCAGACCTTCTCCAGCGTCTCCTGGCCCTGTGCTCCGTTCACACGTGGCATACCTCCATCACTTGGCATGCTGGAGCTGGCGGCCAGTTTACTCACCACTGTGTTCTCAGGGCAGGGGCTGTGCAGGTAAGGAAGCGAGATGGGGGGCTTGCAGCACCAGGCGGGGCTGTGCAGTGGGTGGTGCTGGCCGAGGCGGCGGCGGAGCCAGTCCATAGCCTGGACTATGCGCACCCTGCCCCACCTGCTCCTGCCGCCCTGTCGTCAGCCAGTCCTGCGGCTCGGAGGAAGCATGGCACAGGCAGGGCTGGTGCCCAGGGTCACGGGGAGAGTTCGGAGACGCTGGACAGCAAGGCCCGCTTGTCTCCACTCTCTGTGCTTAGGAGTGAGGACTTGACTGGGGCCCAGCGAAGGCTGTTGTGCTCAGAAAGGTGGGGGATGGTATGGTCTGGGTGCCCGGGTTATGCGGTTTGCTGGGGTGGTGGCCTCTGAGGCAGTACTGTCAGCATTGCCTGGAGTATATCAGACATGCACAGTTACAAGCCCACCCCCGGCCTGCCGAATTGGAAGCTCTTCCATGGGAGCTTGGGGCCAGCCCGAGTTTGAGAACCAGAGTCCTGATCCAAACCACTGACAACTGTGACTGGGCCACCACAGAGCTGCCTCCTCGTTTGCGCCCTTGTCCACTGCCTCTCTGACACTAAGTGGGCCGTGGTTGGCTGCCTCTTCCCAGTGAAACCCAGGGCCCCTCCCTCTGCAGCGTCCTTGGCACCTTCTTTCTCTGCCCTTCCCAGAAGCTCCTGCTCGGCTACACCAGCCACACTCCTGGTTCTTCCCACTCAGCTGTGCGCACAGGGTGAATCAGTGGGTGGCCCTTGTCTCTGCTTTTAGTCCTTTTATCCAGAGGAGGACAGTGGCGTCATGGGCAGAGCCAGGGGCCTCCTGTGGCTCTGCTCCAGCCAGGGAAGCTGTGTCCCTTCCCATGGCGAGGAGTGGGTGCGGTCACACGTGGCAGTTTGATTCTCTCGTCTTTTCCCAGCAGCTGTCGTGGTTTCAACAGCCAGCATGGTAACAGGGTCTCAGGCTTTGAGATCTGTGGCCCTGCATCCTACAAGAGTTCTTGCTTCCTAAGGGGAAGGTGAGGTGAAGGACACACTGCACGATGCCCCCTGCTGGTGACCAGGAGAACAGAATGTGGTTGAAGGTGCAGGTGGCATGTTCATCAACTTGATGTCTTTGTGTTTCAGAACTTGACGGTACGGAGAGGTCTGCACGGCCCCAGATCCCTATGCTGGCCAGAGGATGAGCAGGTAGTGGCCGTGAGCAGTCGAACGTTCAACGTCCCTGCACACCTTGGTTCAGGTCACTTCCTTCTCTGTAGATTGCAGCCCAAGAGCACCATGAGTACGGTGAGTTTTGTCAGCCCAGGAGTTTATTTTCAAGGCTGAGCAACTACCTTGCTCCGCATGGCACATTAAGATGCTTCTAAGCACCCCAGTTTGGGACCTCCTAGGACTTAGAGCAGTGTGCGCGCCGACCGGCCCAGTGTCTGGGCGGTGTTCTGAGGGCGGCCTACGGGGTGGCGGCGGAGGCTTGGGAATTCTGTGCCCAGGGCGGTTGCCGGTGTGCTTGGACGCTAGGGCTCCGGCGTTCCGTGGTTTCTGCTGTCTTTGCCCTGTGTGGTTCTGCGTCCAGTGTGAGCGTCGTGGTAAGGGTCCTCAGCGAGAGGTCTCCAGCCCTCAGAGACCATGCCTGGCATGTCACTGTGACAGTGGCCGTGAGATCTCTCGGACTGCAGAGGCAGCTCTGCTCCGGTGCGGCCCAGACGTCACGAGACCCCATGGGCTCCAGGGAAGGTTGCCTGAAGGTCCTTCCTGTCTGCGCCCCATGGCGGGGCTCTCTGGTGGCCCTGGGGACAGGCTGAGAAAACTCTGGTTCCTTGAGTTGGGTGGTGGGAGGTGCTCTTAGGGCTGAACCCCACTTGCTGTATCCTAGGAGGTCAGAGGCCAGAGGTCAGATTTCTGCAAGGAAGACCTGCTTTCCTTGGTCAGTAGAAACTGGGAAAACTGAAGGTCTTTGGGCTAAAGACAAAGTGAGGCCAAACACAGATTTTAGGAAGGGAGGTCTGTCCCTGTGATTAAAAGGGAGTTCCCGCCAAATCCTGACCTGGGCCATAGGCCTCCATAGAGGTGAGTGTCTTGCATTTTTGCCAGATGGGTTGATGAGCGAGTTTTACTTTCAAGGATTTACATTCGCTGTGTGTTATGGATGATTCATCTCTAAACCCGCAGTGTCTGGAGCCTCCTGTGTTGGGAGGACCTGCCCTGGGCCTGCTCCCTGCTCCTCCTTCCTGGTGCGTGGGCCCTTTTTCAGGGCCGCCCTGCTCGCAGCCCTGCCGAGCCCGGTCATTCAGGACTAACTCGAGTGTCCCTTGTTGGTTCTGGTGCCCTCAGAGGAAGCGCCGAGGAGGGGCTTCGAGTTCTAGACCAGCCCAGAAGCGAGCTCGGGAAGTGGCCTCCACCCTCGAGACGACTCTAGAAACGGAGCCCATTGAGCTCGTGGAAAGCGGTAAGGTGGCCGGGGACACGGCGATGTAAGGTGTGGGAGGGCACGGCTGCACCGCTGGACCGCTGGGCACCTGACGTTGCTGCCTGTCAGCCCCGTGCCTCGGCCTCCCGTGCGGACCCAGACATGGTCACCCTGCTGCAGAGCTGTCCGGAGGCCGCAGCGGGTCGCAGCAGTGGCACAGGCTGACTGGGTGTCTCTGTTTTCTTCCTTCTTTTTCTTCTCGCCCTGGTGACTGCCCAGCCCCCACCCTGTTACTCTGCCTCCAGCCCTGTCCCTTCCATCCGCTCTCGACACCATGGTGGGAGTGGTTCTCCTTATTTTCTGAGCTGACCCAGTCTCTGCCCTGCTTGCCCCCCGCTGCCTGCCCAGTGCCCTCAGGACAAAGTCCCGATTTCTCCCTGGGACTCGCAAGCCCTCCAGGACGTGCCCGCCTGGTCCTCGGCCTTACCGAGCACTCCACATAGTGGCCTCGTGAACTCTCCGATCAGTGCCTTTCCACGACTCACAGGCTCAGTCTTGCCTGTGTCACCACTTCCCACTCCCTGGAGCAGAGCTGCCCCGCTGTCGCTGCAGGACTCCCATGGGTCTGAGCCAGCTGCTCACTGGCGGACCGACCGCTCGGCCTTCGGGGTGGGGGAGACTGCCCCCTGCCCCAAAGTGTATCTACAGTTTGTGTGGCCTCGTAAGCGCTCAGCTTTCTTCTTCTCTTTTTCATTAAGACAGAAAATTGCCCCAAAAGGCAAATGTGTGGCCAGAGCTGCCTGTGTTGGAAGGCGTTTGGTGTAGGCAGAGGCCAGGAGACTTTTCCCCACTGGCTGTTCTGGGAAGCGGCAGGTGGCCTGAGTGGAGTCTCTTTGCTCTGCATATATTAAAATTATTTTTGTAGCCATGTTGCCTGCAAGCTGACTTTAAGAAGAAGCAACTTGTCTGAGATACATTTCGTGGGGCCTTCAGAGAGGGAGGTTCTCAGTATTGTCTCTGGTCTCTCCTGACCCCAAACCATGAGTCCTAGAAAGCGCAAGAGCCTGGGACCTTGGCCTGCCCACCCCAAAGCTGACGCCCGGGCCTGCACATCCTGCTCTTTCCAGGAGAGGCCAGAGTAGGGGCTGCTCCCTGCATCTCCCGGGGGGGCTTGGAGCTCGAGCCTGGGGAAGGCACGGGGCTGCAGGCACTGGTGGCCTGTGAGAGTCTCCGTTTTGTTTGTAAAAGCCAAAAACCAGAAAGAGGAGGGTTCTGGAAACGATGGGACATCAGCATGTGGACTGTGCTTCTGAAAAGAACTTGGTCATTTTGTGTAAATTACATCAGACATTTCTCATACAGTGTGTTTTTATTCCTGTGACTTCTAATACATGAAAATAAAACTTCCTGAATATGCTAAACATATTACAAGTCACTTCCCCCAAATATTAAGCAAGTACTATTTCTGAACGTTCTACTCAATTTTCTGATGTTGACAATGACAGAAGAACATGGGCGTGAGTTTCCTATTGGCATATGGGACTGGAATTGTGTCCGCCCTTCACATGGGTCCTAAGTGCCAGGAGCTGTTGGGCACACGCTCCTCCCCGCTTGGCCTTGTGCTCACATGAATGCCGCAGTGGACCCGAGGGCTCAGGGCTGGCCCCAGGCCAGGCCCGTCCCAAGGAGGAGGGCCCCGAGCTGAGCGTGTCCGCTGCCCTCCCCATCTGTCCCTGCCCCTCCTTGTGAGGGAACAGGTGTGGACATGGAGGCCTAGCCGCGTGGCAGTGCAGGGCCACGGGGATGGGGGTGTGCGTGTGCCTGTCCAACCACGGGCTGCCACTCAGCAGCACTGGGAAGGGTGTCCATGGCTGTCCTTCAGGATGGGGTTGGTCCTGTGCTTTCTGCACTCTGCCCCTCGGGGGTCGGGCCGGAGTCGGGCTCTCATCGCCTTACTAGTGTGGTCAGCGTGCTTTCTCCCCTGACGTGTGCTGGAACGCTTTGTTTTGAAGCTGGAGATGAAATAGTGGACCTCACCTGTGAGTCGTTGGAGCCCGTGGTCGTTGACCTGACACACAGCGACTCTGTTGTGGTAAGCCCTGAGTCGGGATGGGGGGGGCTCAGGCGGTCCCCTGAGCGGGGGGATGGTCAGCTCTTCTTGATAGGACCCCTGGCCAGCACCGAGCCCTGAAGGCCATGTACACGGTGGAGGTTTGCACTCAGTGACGAGCCCATGACAGAAGATGGTTCAGGAAAGTCCGCTGCAGTGGGTTTGCTGCTGGTGTGCCCTTGACCTTTCCTCGGCCGGGCACAGAAGCCCTGGGGCCTTTCTCTCTTCAGTGCCTAAGTGTATACCCTGTGCCAGCTGTGCAACCCCTGCCGTCTGGGTCAGTTGGGTGTCAGGACTAATGGGTGCTAGCCTCGAGTGTCTGGCCCCCAGCCGGTACCCGGAATCCGGCGTGCGCCTCTAAGTGGAGAACAGGGTGCCGGCTCTGCACTGCGGGTGCCTGGAGGAGCCATGTGGGAGGCTGCAGGTGCCCCCTTTTGGTGGCGCCGGGTCTGGACTCGGGCAGGAACTTCGGCTTGAGAGGAGACCTGGGCTGGTCCCCTGCGGGTGGGGGTCTGCCGGCCCACAGACCTGCGTCCTCGGGTGGCCTTCCTCTCCCAGCAGCTCTCTAGCGCCTCCGGGGGCCCGCTCGGTGCTGGCATATAGGGTTAGACTGACCAGCTTTGAAACCACCGGGCTGTCCTGTTGTGCGTCAGTGTCCGTGTTGTCCTGTCCCCACCCCCATCACAAAGGAGAAAAGCAGCGTCCTTTCCTTCAGCTGTTGGGCTGCCCCTGCAGCTGGGACGGGGCTCGGGTCTCTGGCCCCTGCAGAGGGGTGGCAGTTGCCTGGAGACGAGCTGGGACTTCTAGAGATGAGTTGGAGTGGGCGTGGCTGGCACTGGTCCCCGTCCACGCCTGGTCAGTGTTCTGTGGCCCATATGGCACGCAGCATGGCTGCCAGTCCCCGTGGCGCCCAGGGGTCCTAGAAAGGTCACTGAATTTGGCACCTTGGCTGAAACCTGCAGCCTCCTCGCTAACACTTCAGACGGCAGGCGCCAAGTTCTTCCTTTCTCCAAGGCTCGGCGTGCCGGCCCCGGGTGAGAGAGAGGGGACAGGCTCTGCTGCTGCACCCCGCTCCCTGCCGCAGGCGGAGGACAGTGGCTGGCCCTGTTGGGCACGAACCCCCATCATGGCGTCCTGGTGACAGCTGTCTTCAGGCCCAAACCCCGCACCCCAGAGCCAGGGCGGCCTCCAAAACGTGACTCGGGCCGTGTTTCCAGGCCCCGAGGATCGCCACACAGTAACCAGCAGAGGGGAAAACGCTCCAGGCTGACGTCTCTTGCAGGCACTGCCGCAAAAATAGGGTCACTGCTGCGTCCCAAGGTGTCTGCCTGTGCCTGTGGGGGAGTCGGTCCTGCTTCCCAAAGAGGCTGCACCAGCGCGGGTGCACGTCGCTGCTGGAGGACCTCACTGCCTTGACCCTTGACTTCCAGCCTGGCTGGTGGGGCCCGGCCGTGCCCGCGGCGCTTGGGGTCCGCCTGCCGACTGCTGTGGGGACTGAACACCCTCGTGTGTGTGTGTGGCCGCGGCCCTCGCTCTTTGGCGAAATGCCTTTGGAATTGCTACAGGTTTTTTGTACTTATTTTATGTAGAACTTTAAAAAATAGCTGAGGAAGTTAAACTGCAACAAAGCATCCGCTTTGTCTTTTTAACAGTGAGGCTTTTTCCTGCGCATTTTTCCATTTGGTTTTTCTTCATTGTCCTGTTCTTTAGGAATTTCTTAGTGACAAGGGTGAGCCTGTCACTAAGCATGAGCCTGCCGCCTGTTAGGTTTTGTACTCAGAGGTTTCCTCTTTCTGGCTAATACACAGAGGTTTTCGATTTCGGCAGGGTCGGATATTGATTGTTGGAGGAAAATTTCCTACTTAGGAAAAACATGTGCTGTGTTCCCCAAGATCATTGTTTTGTCCTTCACCCGCAGGTCTGTCGTGCACGTGAGCTGGCTTTGGTGTGCAGCTGGGGGGCGGTCTGCAATGCTCTCAGGGAAGTCGGTGCTCCCTGGGGTGGCTTTGCAAGTCCCTGTGGATTTGTCCCCAGGTCGGAGCCAGTTTGGGTTCTGTTGAAAAATGGCATTTTAACGTTTGCTTTTTATCTGAGTGAGAACGGTGACCTTGGCTCATTCCAAACCTGAGAGACTCTGTGTATGTTACGGCTTCGGCTACGGGGTGTTGGTTTCTCCCTTCATCCTGGGACATTCCCCTCTGTCTCCCATGTGACTTGGGTTCATCTGGGTTGACTTGGGAGCCTGCCGTCTGGCGACGACTTCCTCCCTTTCTCTTGTTGGCCTGGGGATCCATCAGTTCAGCATCGCCCTCACGCCATCCTCCTTACGTGTCGCTAGGTTCCCCAGGGCCCTGGAAAGCCAGGCACCATCCGTAGGAGAAGGGCTCGTCCTCCCCACCGTGCAGCGGCCCGTGCAGCACGTGTCAGCGCTGGCAGGTGCTGTGAGGCTCCCCTGTGCTTCAGAGCCCGAAGGGGACTGGCCTAGGGTCAGTGTGTTGAGGCAGCTGCAGCACCGGGCACCCCTGCATCTGACTGACCGCTTAGCCTGGGTTGGGTCCCCAGCCAAGAGAGAGGGACTCTGGGCCAGCTCGATGCCCTTCTGACTTTGCGGCCCAGGCAGGGGCTGCTGAGTGGCTGTCATCTGTTTTGGCATTGGTGTCTTCATATCCTCCCAGCCAGCGGGGAGGCTGCAAGTTTATGCCACCCCTGCTCACTGATATGCTCCTGCCTGCAGTCCGCACTCCTGAAGCCCTGGGGCTTGGCCCGGCCCGTGTCCTGCCAGCTGAGCACCGAGCTGCCCATGGGGCCGCAGCCTGGAGCAGGGCGTCTCAGAGCCCTGTGGTCACAGCACCATCCGTGGGTGTAGGGAGGGTGTGGCACGGCCGAGCCCAGGCACCATTCTTTTCTGCTCTCTTCTTCGAGCTGTCCTGTTAAAGGTGGGGACAGCCCGTCATCCCTGGTGAGGGGGGCTCTCCAGTCACTGAGTGTGGAGCTCCAGCATGTGCCAGGTCTGTGGGGACCAGTCTGCATGCTGCAGGGGCTGGTGGCGCAGCCCCCTCTCTGAGCTCCCACTTGGCCCTGCCCCGTCGGCCCATCTCCCAGGCCTCACACGGACCGTGCCTCTGCCCACCCATGCTTGTCTGCTAGTAAACATGACCCTGATGGCTGTCCCCCAACCTTGTGACAATTTCACCGTCACACTCGGCAGCCCCACGTGTGGGCTTCGTGCTGCCGCTTCCTGGGACGGCCAGTTGTGCCCGTCGGGGTTACACCAAGTCCACTCTACTTGTTCCGAAGCAGAATTGGGTGTTATCCATGGCAGCAGGCACCTCCTGTGGAAAGGTGGGGGAGTGACCCTCATTGTCTCAGCCTTGACCCAGTGTGGGGGCTGCTGGCCCAGGTCAGCCAAGGAGAGGGCAGTCAGCTTTCCCAAGGGACTGGGCCCACAACATGCCGAGAATGTGTCTATGGCGGGTCCCAAAGACACAAGGCCGCGAATTCGAGAGAGCTGTGACCTGGTTGGAGACCACTGTAGCAGAATGGGTCTGGGTGGAAGTTCTGTGGGCCTCCAGGGTGCAGAACTGTATCCGCCTCGGTGCTGCGGGCTGCTCTCAGCCAGCCCTGCACACCTCCTGTGCGCTGGCTGTTCTTACTGCCGTCTGAGCACGGGGGCCCTCCGCCCTCTCGGCGCCCCGTCCTTGGTGGTAGCCACCTGCAGTCAGGTTCTTGTCATTGGCAACTGTGGAGCTGGTCTTGGGCTCTGTGTGCCTGGTGCCCTGGGGTCTGGGCCTTGTCTCCCTTCGTCCTCACAGCAGCACGGTGGGCAGGGGCCACTGGGGACTCTGTCCTCAGCAGAGGAAGCTGGCGGCTCCCGAGGGTGCATGGTCATCCCTGGTCATGTGGCAGCAGCCCCTCAGCTCCCCGGGGGTTTTGCATGTGAAATAAGTGCTTTGTCATTTCCGTGTCCAAAAGATGCAGCATGTTTTACATCACACTGATTCTGTCTTTTCTTCTCCTTTTTCAAAGATCGTAGACGGTGAGTAGTCTCCCTTTCCTGGGTTTGGATGGCCAGCCGGCGTGCGGTAGGATGCGAGAAGGCCAGGTGGGAGGGTTCCGGTGGTGATGTGGTGGTCAGGCCAGCCGGTCCTGTGCTTGTGGAGGAGTGCACTCCTGGCATGGGCTGCAGGCCCGCAGCTCGGGCATTTGCTCTCCTCAGGGATGGACTTCTGGCAAGACGAGGGGAGCCTCTTCAGGGCTGGGCAGGACCTCCTGGGGTAGGGGTGGCTGGGCGTGGCGGCCAGTCTCTCTGCGGTCTGGGGTTGGCCTATCCACGGCGGGAAAGATGGTGGTGTGGGTGGTGGGCCGGGGAGACCCCTGTCCTGAGCTCAGACTCACGTTTCAGAAAGGAGGCGGCCACGGAGGACCGCCAGGCGGCCGCGCCAGGACCACGCCGACAGCTGTGTGGTGAGCAGTGATGACGAGGAGCCCTCCAGGGACAGGGACGTGTATGTGACTACACACACTCCCAGAAACACCAGGGAAGAGACATCTCCAGGGCTCAGGTATCTTCACGCCCACCACCCTGTTGCCACCGCTCTTCTGGGGGCAGGCTCCCTCTCCAGGAAGCCTCTTGCCACCAGGGACTTCCTTGGTCCTTGGCGTGGGATCTCCTTCCTCCTCCATTTCCCGGGGGGTTGGGGCAGGGAGTTAGATGCACTGGGCCTTTAGCCAGTACCGTGAGCCTGGGCCCTGGGAGGGATTGTTGAAGTCTCTCCCCGGCTGCTGGGTGCAGGTGGGGCTGGCGCAGAGCAGGGCTCAGCTGTCAGCGCTGTGACCAGGGGGCGCTAGGTACCTAGAGGCTGGGGCGGGCCACACACGGCAACTCAGGTGTCTGCGCCTTCTGTTGTCCCCTGCTCTCGCGGCCCCGCTGATCCCTGTGGGGTAGCTGGCCTTCCTGTGAGTCCCCAAGAACCCGGGCCAAGGCAGGCTCGGGATGCTCTTGAAGGGGACTGGCCACACACATGGTGGCCCCGCGCACTGACGGGAGCACTGTGTTCTAGGCCCTCCGGCACGATCAGCTGCCCCATCTGCATGGACGGCTACTCAGAGGTAAGCAGGCCCAGCAGTGGCCTTCCTGCTCTGTGGGATGGACAGATGAGTGAGGGCCCTCTCGTTCGGTGGGACCCGACGCTGCTCACCCAGTCCCGCTCCAGCTGGTGCGTGGCTTGCCCTGCTTCTGTGGGGAGGGAGAGCACACTGGCTGCGGGGCCCTGCGGCCTTCCCTCTGGCTCCCGTGTTCCCCATCCTGGCCCAGGAGAGCCTCCCTGAGTTCCGCGGGGCTGGAGCCACACCCCACTGTCCCACTGCGTGCTTCCACAGCAGCGGTGACCTCTCTGGGCCTGCTGGCTCGGGTGACCGGGGCCCCCTGGGCTGCCGCTGCTGGGAACCCTTGGTCCTGCAGACCACCACTTGCCACACAGGGCTGGCGCCAGTGGGACTCTGGGGCAGCTGTGGCCCTGGGACGGGCACGCGTGAGGGCTGTTGCTTCCGCTGTCCCCTAGATTGTGCAGAACGGACGTGTCATCGTCTCTACGGAGTGTGGCCACGTCTTCTGCAGCCAGTGCCTCCGAGACTCCCTCAAGAATGCCAACACTTGCCCGACCTGCAGGAAGAAGATGAACCACAAACGCTACCACCCCATTTACATATGAGGTGTGGGGGACTGCCGGGAGAGGGGACAGGCAGCGACAGCCGGCAGGACCGCCCTGCGGCCTTCCGCGGGGTATTTGCCTCCAATCTCCTGAGCTCACAACGACAGTCTTACAACCAGTGTCTGCCACACAGACTGTTTTTCCGTCTCCAGCCCTCCGAGAGCCTCTCGTTAGCCCCAGCTTGATGCCGGGGAGCGGGGTCTGCGTCTCTCTGCTCCTCGGGGGCTTGGTCTCCGGGCACCTGGGAGGTGAGAACCAGGGTTCGAGCCTCTTTCTGGAACCTGCACAATCGCCAAGACGTTTTCTCTGTCCTGACAGTTTGCCCAGCTGCCTCCTGGCGGTGTCGTCAAGGAGCTGGCCCCGGTCAGAGCGGGAGCAGGTCCACACAGCTCTCACGGGCACGCTACCTCGTCCCCGGCATCTGCCCGACACAGTGACCAAGCCAGACAGTCCCGGAAGCACCAACCACGGGACTTCTTCTTCCCAAGAGTCATTTGACTGTGACTCTGCCGACACCTTAGCAGTGACACGCAGGGACTTCTGCATGTGGAGAGCCCCTGCAGGGCCGCCCCCGACCCTAAGGAAGAAATGTGCAATAATGCCGTCTACCCACAGCCTGGGAGGGCAGTGCCGTCAGGGGCCCTTGGTCGGCGGTGCCTGTGGCCCAGTGCCTGCCCCACCCTGTCACCGTCTGCTCTCAGGAACTGGCCGGGCCCAGAGTCCTCCACCTGGCGTGGGCCCCGCCTGCGGTCCGGCGGACTCTCTTCTCTGATGAAGTCCATCCTCTGTTTGCCACGTGCCCTCTGGTCCTCAGCTCCCGCTGCCCAGCGTCTCCTCGAACACGGACACTGGGAGGCGGTGGCAGTGTTTGTGGCCTTATCAGCCCACGTCCGCGCTGTCGCCCCGGCCGCAGCCGCCCCTGGTGTCAGAGGGCCTGGCCCGTGTGCCTGGCTGGGTCAGTGTTGGCCTTCTCACCCCCACGTTCATTCCAGAGTTTGCTCCTCTGGCCACTGGGGCGTTGACCCCTTGGGCTTGTGACTGCTCCGTAGTTGTGGTTGGCAGCGCTCAGCGGCCTCCCCAGGGGCCCAGCCGGCCCGTCCGCTCCCTCCACGGGCACGCGAGGCCTCGGCTCCTCCGGGTGGCTGCGCCGCCCCCTCCCGCCCACAGTGTGCCAGCCCACCTCCACCTCCGCACCCTCCTCAGGCCTCAAGCCACAGGGCAGCCTTGGCGCGCGGCACCGGCACAGCAGAGGCCCCGGTGTTGCGGCACCGACGGCCTTCGGACCCCTCTGGCGGAGCAGGGTGGGCTTCGTTCCCTCTAAATGGGGCTGAAGGAGCGTTCCTCTTCTGTGAAAAGTTCATTCTTCATGACGACTGTTGCGCTGTTTGGCTCACCTCCAGGCAGTGGGAGGGCAAGGAGTAGGGGAGGGCAGGACCTGCGTGTCCCGCCCGCCGGGCACTCTGCCGGGCACCCGCCCTCCGACTGACCACCTTCCCCCTGGGCTTCGTGGGAACACGCTCATCGCCTTCTGACAGCACCCAGACTTCAGGAGCCAGGATGACCACGCGGCCAGAATCTCTCGTTTTACGTTTAAGGACAGGTGGTGGATCATGGAAGTTGTATTTCCTCATAGTACATTCAATTGGGGGAAGATACATGGTTTCTACTCTTAAGAAACTGCAAAATAGGAAAAGTCGATAAGAAAAGCCCTCCCCCCTCCTCAGTGTACATATTACGACTCTTTCTTTGTTACGTTTAAACTTTATCCATGATGTCAGTCTGTTTGGATCCTCTGCTAGTGGTACAGATGGAAATAAAACCAATACTTTGAAACATAGCTTTTTTGTGTACTCATTTGCTGCTTGGCCTCATTTCTCTCCCCCTTTTGCTCAAGGGGTGTGATTGCTGTTCGCCTCACATGCATGTGCAGGGAAGCTGCTTGTCCGGCCGCCCACCCAGAAGCCATCCTGAGCGACCTGGGACAGAACCGCAGCCCAACCCTGGGCTCCTCGTTGAGCAGGCGCTTCAGCCCAGGAAGCAGGGTTGGGGCTTGCCGCTTGATTGGCCCAGTGCGGGGCAGTGCGGCTCCCCGAACCCCCAGACACAGAGATTGTCCCCCACGTGGGCATGGTGCCCCGGAGTGTGTGGTGTGCCGAGCAGTGGCCCAGGTGGGCAGTGTCAACGCGACCGTGATGGGCCAGGAACTCAGTGAGGGCAGAGCTTACCCTGGGGCTCCGTTGGCGACGGTCAGAGATGAAATGCAGTTCAGTGCTTGGCGAGCGTTGGGCAGGCTGCTGGGACTGGGCCCGGCTCTGGCCTGGAGTGAGAAACAGCCACATTGCTGCCCTGGATGCTCACTCACTGAAGGGTGGTCCGTAAGAGTGCGGAGCAGGGTGGACCCGTGCTCAGGGTTCAGAGGGTTGTATAGGGAAAGGAGGGGACGAGTGCGGGGCGGCCTCCCAGTAGGGGCCCTCTTGGACCACATACCTCCTGGGGACCCTTAACCCTGCCTCTACAGCCTGGAGCCAGGGGCCCCTCTGTCTTAGGCCAGCCCACAAGGGTGCATCCAGGATAAAGCAGGAGCTGCAGGTCCGCAGGCTGGCGCTGACTGGGGCCCCCAAGGCCGGCGAGGAAGGACTTTTCTAGGTTCCTTTTTCGAAATTTTTAACTTACAGATGGTGTCTTTCTTAACTAAAGTGATTGCTATTGCCATAAAGAAAGTTGGCTTTTGCCCTGGTGGGAAGCTCAGCTAGTGGGAGTGTGGTCCCAATGCACCAAGGCTGTGTGACCCCAGGGCACAGGCGGGAATCGACCCCCAGATGAGCCCATCAGCAGTGGGGCTAGAAATCAATGCCTTCTCCTTCTTTTCTCTGGAACCAGTAAGTTTAAGAGAAGTTTTTTAAAGAATGTCGGCTTTTGCATATAGTGTATCCTGTGTTCGTGCCTAGTTCTCATTCTAACAGGAACAAGGCTCTGTGGGGAGCACCTGAGCTGTTGCACTGTGGCATCTGACTCAGATAAAACTCCTAGAAAAGAACGCAGGTTCTGTTCTCCACCTTGACTGCCACCTCGCCTGGAGGGATCCGGCTTTCTTCTCCAATTCTTGACCCTTTCTTTGTCTTACTGAACTGCTGCTGCTTGCAGGACATTAATATGCAAAATGGTGTGGGCAGGTGTCTGCACGTTTCCGCGTTGTCACCAAGAAACGGGTTTACTGGAGGTTCTTGTTACGTGATTGTCAAGCTTCCTGGGTAGGGACTTGTCTGTTTCTGTTTCGTCACAAACGGATGTTCAACCTCGTAAGTTCTTCATCTGCCCCTCTTGAGACATCGTAGGATTCCGCACCCCCCCTCCCCCGCTTTTTCTTTTTTAAGATTTTATTTATTTATTTTTAGAGAGAAGGGAAAGGAAGGAGAAAGAGGGAGCAAAACATCAATGCACAGCTGCCTCCTGCACTCCCCCCACCAGGGACCCAGCCCCCAACCCGGTCATGTGCTCTGAACGGGAACCGAACCAGCGGCACCCGTCCCCCCTCCTTGGTTCGTAGCCCACTCTCAACCGACTGAGCTATGCCAGCCAGGGCAGGATTTACCCCCTTTAATCAGTTAGTACAGTGTGTTACGTGATTAGACTTGTGTGTGTGTGGCAGCCTTGCATTTCCAGGGTAGATCCAGCTTGTTCGCAATGTTTTGCCCGTCCGTAAATTGATTATTTTGTTTTGCTGTTGTGTGGTTGATGGTTTTTTAAAATCTGTGTTTATGAGTAGATTGACATCATTTTCTTAACACTGTCAGGTTTCGGTTTCAAAGTGAGGCCTGTTCATTCGGAGACACGGAGGGGCTTCCTCTCCAGACCTCACATGCGCGTTTTTTGCGCCTTGATGTTCAGTGGAGCCAAGCAATGAAACCTCTGAGCCGCTGTTTCCATTAAGGAAAGATTTTCAAGTTCTGATTGGATTTTTTAGAAAATGAGAACTATTTACATTTTTTAAACTCAGGTTTGTTAAGTTACGGTTTCTGGGAACCCATACTTTTCATCTCATTGCAAGTTTTTGGTATGAAATAGTTAATAAAATAGAGTTAATCTCTGCAGCATTTTTAAGGTTTTTTTTGAGAGAGGCAGGAGGGAGGTCATACTGTACGAGCAGGGCTTCTCTGCAGCATCTTTTTATCGCTAATGTTAATTTATGCCTTCCCTTTTGATCAGGTTTGTTAGACCTGTGTCCATTTTATGTTCTATACACATTACGTCCAGCATCCAGAGCCTGTGGTTCATTTCTGAAGTCTTTGTTGCTGACGGCTCTCACTCAGACGACTTCCTTCTTTGGGTGTTTTAGGAACTTTGTTCTTCTTACTGTGAGTCCGTGTAACTTGTACACTCTATGAAAATTCTTTGAGACCTGGATTGCAGGTGGGTTCCTCCGGAAAATATTCGCCTTTGCTTTTATGAGGTGTTGAAGGTTGTTACCAACTCAAAGCCAATAGAATTGCTTACCTAGCTTTCATACTGGGAAGTGTGGCGCACAAACACAGAGCTCACTCAGTTCGCTCAGGAGCACGGCTCAGCAGACCACCTTAAAGCGGGCCCCGCGACAGCCAGCTGTGACGAACAACACTGCCAGCACCTCAGGAGTCCCCTCCTCCTCACTCCCGTCAGGACGCTCTGCTTCTCCCCAAAGGTGATCGCTCATCTGACTTTTATAGAAATTACTCCTTCTACTGTCTGTAGAGTTTAATTAGCAGAACATAGAGCCTGCATGACATAATTTAATTTTGGCTATTCTTTGAAGTTTAAATGGGTAAGATCATTTAATTTGTGTGTTTTGGAGAGGAGTGGCTTCTTTTGCTGAGTATTTGTGAGATTTGTTCATGTCGCGTGACTTGTTCATCTTTCCCGAGTGTAGCATTCAGAAGAGCGTGCTTCCGTTAGTCCATCCTTTCAGTTACGTTGCCGGCTGTTAATGGCCAACGGAGGACCACACTGCTGGAGGGCATGACTGGCTTTCAGGGTCTGAACGTTCAGGAGAACTGAAAAAATACGTGGACATTAACACCCTTTTAAACCAGTGGATCAAGGAAGAAATCACAAAGGAAATTACCTTGAGAAGAAAGAAAGTGAGGCCATACCTAAATGAATGGGATACAAGAAGCCAGTGCCCGGGGTGCTGTTGTTGTAGATATCCACAGTGAAATAGATCGAACCGGTCTAGCTGTGCGCCTTGAGGAACTGGAAAGAGAAGAGTAAACCAGACCCAGAGCCGGCAGGAAATAAATAATAATAAAGATTAAAACGGGTAAATGGAATTGAGAACAAAAAACTATTTTAGAGAAAATTAAGGACAAGTTTTTTTAAGATCAACAAAATGGACAAACCTTTAGCTAAACTGACCAAGAATGAGAGAGGGAAGAGTCATGTCACTGGGGTGGCTTGGTTGGGCGTGGTCCCGTACACTGCGTGGTCACTGGGTCAGTTCCTGGTCTGGGCACACGCCGGGGTCAAGGGTTCAGTCCCGGATCGGGGGTGTCGGAGAGGCAACCAATCCACGTTGCTCCCGCACATCAGTGTTTCTCTTTCTCCCTCCCCCCTCTCTAAAAGTAAGTAAAACTTTCAAGTCAGCAATGAGAGAGGACATGACCGAACTTCACAGGTAAGAAGACTGCCATGAATGCCTACCTCGCTGTGTGACCACCGATTCGATAACCCAGGTGAGACGGACAAACTCCTACAAATGCGAACTACCAAACCTGACTCCAGAACAGAAAAGGAGTAGTAGACCTTTAAGAAGTAGTATTCAGACAGCACTCAGGACCCCATCAGCACCGCCAAACAGGGGTCGGGTGGCCTCAAGGTAACCAGAGAATACTTCCTGACTCACTCTGCAAGGTCAGTCTCCTCCTGACCCCAAAGCCACATGAAGTCAGCTACAGGAAAAGGACTTTGCAGAGTAATCGCTCTCGTGAACGTCGACGCAGTGATCCTCGGTGCAGCGCTGGTCCCCAAATTCGGCAGCCCCCCGAAAGGACTGCGCTCCACCCAGGGCTTCTCCCAGGAGAGCCAGAGTGCCCTGTCTCCGAGCAGGGGTGCAGTGCAACCCGTAAAATCATCCTGCCAGGTACAGAAAAAGCATTTGAGAAAACCACACCATTTCATGGTAAAAACACCAAGCAGACCAGGAACAACGTCATAAAGGCCACGTGTGGAAAGCCGGGAGCTAACAGGTTCTGTGGTGGAAGAAGGAAAGCTTGTCCCCTGAGACAGGAGCAGGAAGAGGGTGCCTGCCCACCATGGTTCGTCTGGGATTTTAACCACAGAAGTGATGCAAGAAAGGAAGAGGGGGCATCCAAAAGGAAATGGAAAGAGTGTCTTTGTAGAAGACACGATCTTGTATGTAAAAGCCATTAAGAATCCACATCCATACATAATGACTGTTAGAGTTCGAGAGTTCAGAAAAGTTGCAGGATCCAAATTCACAAACTCTACACTCTATCAGTGAGTAACTAGACAAGGAAATTAAGAGAAAATTCCATTTTCAATACTGAAATTCCAATTCCATTATTCTTGAAACAGAATAATAAACTTAGGAATAAAGTTAACCAAGGAGGTGCAGAATTCGTGCTCTGACACATGGTTGAGAGGAACATCTCTGAGAAATACAGGACGCCCCATATTTGTGAGTGCAAAGGCAATACTGTGAAAAAGACAGTATAGAGACTCAACGCAATCCCTACGAAGCCCCAGTGGCAATGTTCACAGAAGTGGCAAGCCCGTCCTTAACTTTGAATGGAGTTGCAGGGACCCAGGGTAGCTGAAGCAGTCTTGGAAAGAACCGAATTGGAAGACGAGCTTCCTGACTTCGAAACTTCTTGCAGAGGTGCAGGAATCAAAGCAGCACAAGGGCAGCGGGGGGACGGGCCTTCAGACCAAGGGAAGGAGGGCGCGGTCCAGGGTCACACCCTCTCCGTGGCCAAATGATTTCTGACAAGGTTTTAAGGCACTCCATGGAGAGAGAAAGGTCTCTCCAACAAAAGGTGCTCGGAGAATTGGATCCTCACAAGTATAAGAATGAAGCTGGGTCTTTAAACCATAGGCAAAAATTAACACGAAAGGGATCAAAGGCCTAGACTTAAGAGTTAAAACTATAAAATTCCTAGAAGAAAACAGGCAAATATTCTTGACCTTGGATATAGCAGTGTTTTCTTAAATATGACACCAAAAACAGGCAAAAAAGGAAAGTTAAATTTGACTTAATTGCAATGAAAAATCTGGGCTCCCAAGGACACTGTCAAGACCGCGAGAAGACAACCCACAGAATAGGAGACAATATTTGCAAGCTCACTCTCTGTGATAAGGGACTAGTAACTGTAATACATAAAGGACCTCTAAAGTTCAACGAGAACAAAACATTCACTCCTCAGTTTAAAACTTGGCTAAGGACTGAAGTACATACTCCTCCAAAGAAGATACACAAGTGGCCAATGGGCACAGGAAGGGAACTCCGCGTCATTAGTCATGAGTGACATGGAAATCAGGACTACAAAGAGATACCGCTTCACACACGTCAGGAAGGCTGTAACCGAAAGCACAGACAGCTGGCCTCGCCAGGGATGCCAGGCAGGCTCGGGAGCTGGGACCCTCGCGCGCCGGCAGCAGGCAAAGAAAATAGGACGCTCGGGAAGACAGTTGGGTGTTTCCTCGAGACGTCAAATATAGAGCTACCGTACCATCCAGTAAATTCCCCTCGGGGTACATCCTCCAAAGAACTGAAAGTGGGGAACTCAAACAGATGCTCTCACCCCACTGCTCACGGCAGCAACATTCTTCACAGCAGCCAGAAGGTACAAACAGCCGAATGTGTGTGGGTGGATGAATGGATAAAGACGCTGTGCTATGTGGGGTCGAGAATGGAAGATTCAGCTTTAAAAGGACGAAATCGTGATACATACAACCCGGGTGAGCCTTGCTAACATGGCGCTGAGTGAAATACTTTACTTCGACACGGTGCAGCAGAAGAAAGCCTGCTTGAGTGTGTTTGGTAGGGTGACGATAGTGGAGTAATAACCTACAGTTCTAATTTGAACATTTCGCCTGAAATGTCCTGCGGCGTGCTTGAGTGTGATAGTGTCATGTTACAGAATGACACGCTTGTGATTTTGCGGTGAGTTTATAATTAAAAACGGGGGTGTTATTTGTGGTGGACCCTGTAGCACAAACACTGCACGATCCCGCGTGTGTGAGACACCTCGAGCGGCAAACCCATGGAGACCGGCAGTAGTGAAGCGGTTCCTCGGGGCCGTGGGGGACAGCGGGGGTGGCAGTGTTGAACGGGGACAGAGCTTCTGTTTGGGATGATGAAGTGTCCTGGTAGTGGAGGTGGTAACTGACGGTGGTACAACATTGTGAATGTAGCTAGTGTCATTTAATTGTACACTTGAAAAGGATGAGAGCCGGACCGCAAAGCAGAGAGTCGCTGGTTCGATTCCCTGTCAGGACGCAGGCCTGGTTGCGCGCCACATTCCCCGGTGTAGGGAGCGCGAGAGGCAGCCACACATTGATGTTTCTCTCCCTCTCTTTCTCCCTCCTTCCCCCTCTGTCTAAACATAAACAAATAAAACCTTTTTAAAAGAAGACTTAAAAAGAAAAGAAGAACGAAAATGGTAAATTTTGTATTATATATGTTTTACCACAGCTTTAAATGGAAAAGGACCATAGCAGTTATTCATTATCTATACATAATATGTATAAGATTTCATATATAAAATTCAAGACATGTATTCCATTTACATATATTTAGTCTTTATGCCTTTCTTCACGTCCATCTGGAATAATTTTTCTTTTGCCCAAAGAACTTTCTTTTTTTTACTGTTTTATTTATTTATTTTTAGAGAGAGGGGAAGGGGAGAGAGAGGGAGAGGAACATCAATGTGGTTCATTTTAGTTATTTTATTTTTCAGTTCTAGTAAATTTTCTTTTTTAAGCTTATCTTCAGAGAGAGGAAAGGAGGGAGAAAGAGAGGCAGAGAAATGCGGACGTGTGAGAGGTATGTCAATCGGTTGCTTTTCCCACGCCCGCGACTGGGGACCAAGCCCCAGGCTTGTGCCCTGACTGGGAATCAACTGGCAACCCTGTGATTTGCAGGCCAGCACTCAATCCACTGCGCCACACCAGCTAGGACTCAAGTAAGTTTTCTTTCTTCTTTATATTAAATATATTTTATTGATTATGCTATTACCGTTGCCCCATTTTCCTGCATTTATTCCCTTCCGCACTGCACCCCGTTCCCACCCACATTCCCCCCTCTTTAGCTCATGTCCATGGTCGTACATATTAGTTCTTTGGCTTCTCCATTTCCTACACTACTCTGACCCTCCCCTGTCTATTTCCTACCTACCATTTATGCTACTCGTTCTCTGTACCTTTCCCCCATCTCTCTCCCTCCCACTCCCGTCAAGTAACTTTTCCTATAGACCTTAATTCTCGGGTGAAACTCTCCATGCTTCTCTATTTACATTTTTTCTGTATTTCTTAAACAGTCTTTGCCTACTAACTCCAAGTGTGATCACCTATGGGTTTGTTTTTGTCATCTGTGGGTTTATTTTCAGTCAAAAGGCCCTGTGCCTTGATATGCCTTGATATGCCTAGAAATTTTTTAAACATTTTTTTTAGATATTATCTTTAGGGGGGAAGGGAAGGAGAGAGGGAAACATCAATGTGTGTGGTTGCCTCTCGTGCGTCCCCTGCTGGGAACTGGCCTGCACCCCGGCAAGTGCCCTGACTGGGAATCGAACCGCGATCCTCTGGTTCACAGGCCAGTGCTCAATCCACTGAGCTACACCAGCCAGGGCCTGCCTAAAAAATTTTTAATGAAAGGTGGAACTTGTGGGTAAAAAATTGGAGCAGCCATAGGCGGTATCGCCTCTGCGGGGCAAATAACGCAGGGGCTCGTCGCCAGTGCCCCAGCCGCGCGAGCCGTGCACGCTGTGCTGCAGCGCAGCGAGGCCCAGTGGTGGTTCCGGCTGCCTGTAGGGTCCCGCTCCGGGCTTCCCGCGGAGCTGCAGGGCGCCTCCCGCTGGTTAGTCCTGGTCTGTAACCCTCGCCGTCTCGGCCCCATAAAACTGCTGGCACCTCCACTCCGCTTTCCAGGGTTTTTCCAGTTCCCCTCCTACCCTGTGAGAGAATTTGGCAGGGACCCTAGGGAGAGACTGTCAGACTCAGTGACTCATCCCCATGTCACTTGGGATTCCGGCTCCGCACCGTTGTCCCCACTGCTTTGTCTCCAGCCCGACCTCAGGCCCTAGCCCCGGCCCCGGGGACTGGGAGCCACTCTGGAAACTGGGGCCCTTGGTTCTGTCTCTTGCAGCTCTCAGCTTCCTTAGCGCATTTTTCATGACCCGTACGGGCAGCTGTTCCCCTGAGGTCAGTGACCACGGGGCCATCAAGACACCGCGCTGTCCCTCTGTCAGGTTGTTGTGCCTGCCATTTATCTGTCCTTGCAGCTCGGTTTCGGGTGTCAAGTAACCTCACATATCACCTATTATTTTCCTCACAGCCTTCCCTTGTCCTATTCCAATCTGGCCTGGTTCTTCCTTCGGTTCATTTAAAAAAATGTAATCTCTAATTGTATTTTTGGCATTATTATTCAGCCCTCTTATAACCGCTCCCCCATCACTCCTTTTGCTTTTAATTAAAAAAAAATATTTTTTCCTGTCTTATTCGGAAGTGGTCCAACTGCCACTCTTTTCTCTCCTGTTCTACATCTTTGTTCTACTGTCTGGATAACTCCCTTTTCTGTTGCAGCCCTTCTGTTGGGTTTCTTTTACAACTTCGGCTACATTTTATTTTTTATACTCACCTGAGGACATGTTTATTGATTTTAGAGGAGGAAGGAAGGGAGGGCGGGGGGAAGAGAAACATCAGTGTGAGAGAGACACACCAATCGGTTGCCCCTTGCGGGTGCCCCAACTGGGGACTGAACTTGCAACCCAGCTATGCGCCCTGACCAATAAAACTTAACTTTTACAGAAATATCCAGTGTATGCCACCTTTTCCTGACAGTCGGTTCCAAGAGCCCTCCAGGGTCACTAAGGCATCTGAGTGGCCACCTCCAGGCCAGGACCCTCTCAGGCCCAGGGCCGCACCTCCTGGGACACTTGCGCTTCTGCCAGTCCAAGCTCTTCTCAGAGTGCGCAGACACAGTCTCGCCCTGCGGTCCTGCATTCTCCCTTGCGATGGCTACTTCTGTGGCAGGCTGACTGGGCCCTAGGGCACCTGGACACCAGGTCAGACATCCCGGACGTGTCAGTGACGGTGTTTCTGGGTGAGGTTAACCTTTGCATCTGCAGACTTGAAGCAGCAGATGGCGCTCCTCTGTGTAGGTGGGCCTCACCCCATCAGTTGAAGCCCTTATAGAACAGAGGGGCCCAAATAGAAAAGAGGGAGCTCCCAGCCTCAGTGCCCCTGAGCTGGAGATGGCCCCTTGTTTCCATCTCCCACCTCTGGACTCAAACTGGCACATCAGTTCTTCCTGGGACTCAAAGCTGGGGCTTTGGGCTGGACGCACACCATTGGCTCCCTGAGTCTCTAGCTGCCAACAGCAGGTATTAGGACTTGTCAAGCTCCATGACTGTGGGAGCCAGTGCCTTCCAATGATTCGGTCTCAGTCCCAACCTCTCCTTCCATATGCGTAGATCACTGGGGTTGCATTTCTCAAGAATACTGACATCCAGCTGGTTAAAATCATCTTAGGGGAAGCAATGAAAGACATTTACAGTGGTTTGTAACCTCCAAAGTTCAACAGCACCAGGCGAACTCTTACTTAGTACTTTTTTCCATCTGAATTTCTTAGTGTTCCTTAGGGGGAGATAATGGAAAACAAAGGCTGAGAACTACTGCTTTCTGGCTTTGCTTCACCCGTCTCCCAGGGCCACTGTCCCCAACACCTACGAGGCTGTCCTGAGTGTCCTGGCCACCAAGTTTGCCTCTCTGACATCCATTCTTGACATAACAGCCAGAGTTCATTAAAAAATGTATATCCAATAAAAAAAGTTGCTATCAGATACCATAAAACACCGAGGAACTTAAAAATATAGATGCACACCCTGCCATGACACGCCCTGTTCAAAACCCTCCTCAGCTCCAGGCTGCATTCAGAGCAAACCCGCCACCTGGTGGGGGCCAGGCTTCTGCCGCTTTCCCTTGCTCCAGCCCTGGTGGCTTTCGTAGGGGCCTGGGACAGGCCTAGCTCCTCCCTGCTCCAGGTTTGGCCTCACTAGAAGTCTTTTGCTTGAGAGTGACTGGCGCTGGCTCAGCTCACCTCCCCAGGGAGGCTCACCTGTGCCCGGGGGGACTCTCAACTGTACCGCACTTGAGCAGCTTCTGCCTTGTAACCTGGGCTCTGCTGTTGATTATCGGGGTAACTTTGGACAAATCCCTTAACATATATGAACTTCAGTTTCTCATCCATAAACGGGCCAATGGTGCCCATCTCCAGTGGTTGTGTTGATCAGATAAAAGGATATAGCTGCAGGCAGGGTGGCTGGTGTATAGTGGCTTGACAAATTCTAATTCGTATGTCATTCATTCACCCAGTAAATACTGTATTGGTGTGTGCCCAGCCCTTGCTTGGCAGGAGCTGGGGTTCACAGGTGCAGGAGGCATGCCCTCCTCCCCTAGTCCCGAGACTTCTCTTCACTGGGGATACTGCTGAACACCCGGAATCCCAATCCCATGTCAAGGTGCTATGACAAGGGACATCTTGGGGGCTGTGGGAGCAGGGACTGTCTGACTCAGCCTGTGTGGGATGGGTCATCATTCACCTAGGGGGCTGCTAAAGGAAGATTGCCAGGCAGGATATATGTATTAGCTCATTGTGGTTGTGGCAGGAAGGATGGGTGGGAGGGTAAAGGGCTGTGGTTGCAGCTGGATCGAGGATGAGGCCGTGAGGCTGGGAGCTAACAGTTATAGGGCCCTGGAAAGGGTGCAGATACAGGCCCTCCCACCAACACCCAGTGCCAAGCTCGGCTGCTTCTCTGCCCTGTGACTACCCCAGAACCAAGGAAGGAAAAACGCGTCTTGGTGTTTGGATAAGTGGGGCCCTGTAGAGTGTAGGGCCTAGGCAAGGTCCTACCCTGGTCTAAGGGCAGAGCTATATACCCTTATAGCCCCTGGGGCTTGTGGTGGTGGGCAAGATCCAGGCAGAGGGCGCTGGAGGCCCGAGGGTCTGGCGACCCTGGGTCTGAGCGGTGTGGGTGAATGCAAGGATGAGGGACCCTGCAGGGTCGCCAGGCACCCGTTGCGTAGGGCGCGGCAGAGCGGGCTGCGGGCAGGGCCCAGCTCGGGAAGGGCGCCCGCGGTTCTAACCCAAAGGAGGCCTGCGCAGCAGCCACGCACGGTGGCCGAGGCCTCCTGGGGCAGGAGCTCCGAGCTCGGCCGGGCCGAGCGCTTTCCTGGCGCCCTCTGGAACCCACCAAATCTGCGAGAACGGCCACTCTCGTCCCCATGGAGTCACCTGCACTCGGGCCGGCCCAAGGTCACCAGGCCATTCCCGGCAGGAGAGAGCCGGGGTTGCCAGCCTGCTGCATCCCGGGACCCCGCCAGCCTGCAGCCCCGCGTCCACCAGGTGCGCGGCGTGGGGGACTCTTGATGTCTGTCAGAGAGGCGGACCTCCTCTGCTTCAGTTCTGCAGCTCTCCCATTGCTGGGGACCCGGCCTCGCGCTATCCAGACCCCTCCGCCCAACTACAACTCCCAGAAGGCCTCACGGCGTGGGCGTGGCCGAGGCCCTGAACGCAGCGGTGACGTAACTCTCGCACCCAGCCCCCTGGTTGCGGCTTCCGCGCGCTGACACGCGCACAGCCTGCCGGGAGTCGTGGTCCTTCTGCCAGGCGCCGCCGGCGACGGCGCTGGCGCAGGGACTTCAACTTCCGGCGTGCCTTGCTCGCCGGTGCACGTTAACGGCGGGAAGGGGCGGGCAAGGTCGAGGGGCCGCGGTGCTCTGGAGGGCGGAGTAAGGCGGGAGGGGGAGGGCGCCCACACCCTCCCCCTCCCCGCCGCTCCTTCCCCCTCCCCCGACGCAAACTGGGATCCCTTTCCCCTTGTGTCCGCCATATTGGACTCTAACTCTGGTCAGCGGCGGCGCCGGGCCCAGTGGACTCGCTATTCCTCCCGCCCCGCGGCCTCCCGACTGCTCCCGCTTGCCCGGCCCTCCCCGCTCGCCCGGAGTCGACTCCGCGCAGCGCCCCCCGCCCTCGGTCGGCCGGAGCGCTCCGCCGCCACCTCAGGCTCCCCGCCCTCCCCGCTCGCTGCCCGCCGCCCGCCATGAGCCCGGCCGACGCCAAGCGTGGGGCCAAGCGCCGGAAGAATAAGCGGGGAGGCGGCGGCGGCTCGGGTGGGGGCCACGGTGGCGCGAGCGGCGGCAAGGCCGGCCCGGCAGCGGCGCTGCGCGGCTCCCAGGCCGCGGGCCTACCGGCCGCAGGAAGCACAGCCGGGGCGGCCAACGGGCCCCTCGGCACGGGCGCGGGCGGTGCCGCCCCCGGAGGCTACTTCGAGGTAAGCGGCGGGGGCGGGGAGGGCGCGGGTAACGGGCGGCGGCGCGGGGCCGGGCGGCGGCTCGTGACAGCCTTCCCGAGAACCCGGCATCTTCCGGGCGAGGCGCCGCGGCTCTGCCCACCTGCGCGCGGCTGTCACGGCCCCGGGGGTGGTGCCATCTCGGCGCGCGCGGGGCTCGTCCTGGAAATGACTCGCGTGCAGTTCCAGAATAATTCGAGTCAGGTGACAAGCGGGTCTTTTCTATTGCGGTCGGTGCTGGCAGGGCCGTGTCGCTGGGCCCACCTTCTCCTCGCGCCTGCGACGGTCGCTCCGAAGCGCCAGGGGAAGTTGTCTTCCCTGGAGTGGGCATTTGAAAGCCACCTGACAGTCTTCCCGAGGCGGCAGCCGGGGCCCTTGATCCTCTGGGTTTCAGAGCTTTTTGGGGTCGTTGGTGTTCTTGACGGCTGATATTTAGTGTTGGAACTTAAGGACTCGGAAAGTGACTTTCTTCTGTTCAAGAAGTCGCACTGCGAGTGCATCTCCCCGCCGTGGACGCTGCCTCCCCTCGGCCACAGCGCTACCGAAGGCACAGCTCCGGGGCAGGCTTGCAATGGGCTCCTGAAACACTGTAGATTTTTGTCCAGAGTTGCTAGAATGGTTAAGTTCTTCAAACAACATTCGCCGTGAAGAAGCTTCATCGTGTTTGTGTGCCAAATGGTGAGACAGAAATTGGTTTGCGGAAGATTCACGATTTCGTGCCGGAGCGGTGGTAGTGCGAGCGGACCAGAGACCAATGTGTGTGGTTCAGCTGTGACCCAGCCACAGAGGCGAGCTGCCGTTGCCGGTTCACGTACAGACGTCCTCTGCAGTGTGGTCAGTGCAGCTGTTCACTGTTTTTAGGTGACATCCTTACATTCGTTGCCAAAGTTGCCCTTGTTATGTGCCCTGTAGAGCAAAAGAGGGGCCGTTCTTGGGATCAAGGATGAGGCTCCCACTGGGATCCCGCGTTTGGATTGCTGCTGGGGGGAGGGGAGGAGGTCTGCGGGTGTGAATCCTTTACAGAAACATGTTGCCGTCCATTTCCACTGATTCAGTCAGTAGAAGGCTGGCTGGTGGTGCAACAGAAGTCATACTAGTCTTCATGTTGTCATTTCAGCTTTAAACGACTCCCTTAGCTGAGGTGGTCTTCGTGTCCCAGAGAGGCTTGTGGTTCCTGGGGTTCCTGCTCCTCATTGCACACAGATCACCAGGGCAGGTTGCTAAGAGGGGTGACAGTGGACAAACTGTCTTGATTCTCAGTGGGTCTTAGCCCCACCACCCTGTGTGTGCAGCCTGGAGCCAAGTCCCCTTGACTCGTTAGGGACTGGTTAGATTCCAGACCAGTCTTCTCAAGGCAGCTGCAGAGGCAGGGAAATGAGGGCAGTAGCCTAAGTAGGGAGACAAAGCAGAGCTTATAGAGTCTTGGGCCCAAAGATAACACTGGTACGTAAAGCTTGGGGACCCAAACTGGTGGGCTCTGTGCCCTCAGGCAGGTGTCAGCCTCCGCTGCCTTGGTCCAAGTGATGTGGAGCCCAGCTCGGTGGTGATCATTGAGAGTCAAACAGGCGAAGGCAGGGTGGGTGCTGGGGCTTTAGAGGGGATTCTGCTGCAGGGTGACGCTGACCACTCTCTCCCCACCTGTGGGATGGGGGCCAGCACAGGGGTTGAAAAGCACAGCCGGGCATCTGGGACAAGGCGTGCGCCCGCAGCCCTGCCTGGTGGTCTGCTGCCACTGGCGGCGAAGGGCTGGCCCCCAAATGAAAGGTTGGTAGGCAAAGGGGACCATGATTATATCTTCTTACTTTGCATTTCTAGTTTAAATGTAATTTTTTTAACGCTCCTGCTTACTAAGTGAAGGAAGAAGCTTGCAAAATAGAAAAGTTTATGGACTCAAATATCTGTGTATGTGGGTTTGCATGGGAAAGTCTGCAGGGCATGCGTCAGGATGCTGGGCGGCGGGTCTGGAAGGCCGTCTGTTTTCCTTTGTCACACGGCTGGGACACTTGCACGGGGAGACTTTGCTGTGATGAACGTCACTCAAGGGACAAAAAAATGAATGGTCCTTTTACAACCTGCCATTACCAAAATTTTTTCTTTTTCAAGTAAAACTACTTTTGGTTATTTTTAACTTTTAACAGCTAAACATATAGATATTATACATCAAAAGGAAGTATTTAGACCATCAGAGTTGTTTTCTGAACAGGTGTACAGAATTAAGTAATACATATATTATTTACAAAAATCATAATTTATTATGGAAATTGACTTGTCACTGGCTGTTGAAATTTCAAATTGTGTATACTTTACACTCAGGGAAGGCTCAAATAGGAATTTAGGGCTATTTTTGTAATGCTGTTAGAGATTTATGAAAGGAAGCCATTTGGGGTAGGGATTGAAGTACATTTTCAAAGAGCAATATTCAAGTTTTGAAGTGAGAGAACGCTGTCATGGTGTATGGGGCACTTGTAATGACATAGGTCGTTTTTCACCACTGAAAAGGTGGCAAGGAGATAATGGTGATGTTTAAAAGCCATCGAACAGTACACCCTGTGGTTAGGTGGTGTGACTGCGGGTCTTGGGCCACTTTGGGGAGCACTCGAGGCCTTTCCTGTAGAGCAGAAATGGCCGCCGTGGTGAGATGAGGTTCAGCCCCAGCTCTCTCCAGTTCCAGTGTGCCCCGGTGGCCTGAAGGGGAGTGGGTCAGGGAAAGGTCAGAACATCCCGTGCTGCAGCCGAGGTCAGCCTCGGGAGGTCAGTCTGGCGGTGCACCTCCCCGCCCCCCTGTGGCACGTGCGCAGCTGCGCTGCGTCGAAGCCGTCCTCCTCGGTCCTCCCGGTCGCCCGCGTGCTCGCTGCCTGTGGTCGAATTTCACAGGAAAGTGCTCCATGCCAGCGCTGCGTGCTGAGCGATACACGGGGGGCGTGTCCCTGGGGTCGCTGTCGGGGTCATCCTCTCTCAGGGACGCAGCTGTCCGTCGTGCGGACGGACACCCTGTGGTTTGTCCACCCGCTGGGACATCGATGGACACTCGGGCTCTTTTAAGGCCGACACGACCCGAGCTGCTGTGCACACTCCTGTGCGCGTGCTTGGTGGACATGAGGACTGACGTCCAGGGGGCTGCCGAGCGTATTTATTTTGCCAGACAGATTTTCTAAATGCTTTTATTGTGTGCTAATTTAAATAATTAACTCATGGTAACATTGATATTAATATTTGTTTTAACAAATTTTTATTGCTGCCCTGGCTGGTGTAGCTCAGTGGATTGAGTGTGGGCCTACAAACCAAAGGGTTGCTGGTTTGATTCCCAGTCAGGGCACATGCCCAGGTTGCAGGCCAGGTCCCCAGTAGGGGACACATGAGAGGCAACACAATGATGTTTCTCTCCCTCTCCTTTCCTTCCCCTCTCTGTAAAAATAAGAAATAAAAAAATTTTAATTATTTTGATTTTTAGAAAGAGAAAAGCATCCATATTTGTTCTGCTTATCTATACATTCATTGGTTGATTCTTGTGTGTGCCCTGACTGGGGATCGAACCCGCAACCTTGGCATATTAGGATGACACTGCGCCCGACTGAACCGCCAGGACATTGATATTGATATTTTAAAGTGTGTGGTTCTTCGGATTGTAACGTGGAGATTTACGTGTCCACTACCACAGTCAGGATACAGCGCGAGCGCCGTCGCGGGCAAGAGCTCCCTCGTGCTCCCGTGTGCTTCCACACTCCCCCCCGCCCTGCATCCCTGCCAGCTGCAACTTCGTTACCGTGTTTTCATCTTCTGGAGAAGTCTATGGGCAGAAGCGTACAGTGTGCACACATAACTTTTTGAGCCTGTTTTATTTCACTCAGCGTAGTCCAGGGATGTCCAACCTTTTGGCGTCTCTGGGCCACACTGGAAGGAAGAGCTGTCTTGGGCCACACATCAGATACACTGTGACACATGATCACAGAAAGACTCACAATGTTTTAAGAGGGTTTATGGTTCGTGTCAGGCTGCATTCACAGCCGTCCTGGGCCGAGGTCGGACACCCGGGGCCATGGTCACGTGGAGGCTTGTCCCCTGCACATGGTGCTGGCCCGGCCCCTGGTGCTGCTGAGCAGAGAGCCCCACTGTGTGAACGTGCCGCAGTGGGCGCGCTCCTGGTGGTGGGCATCGGGGCTCTTTCTGGGCTTTGGTGATAATAAATAGAGATGCTGCAAAAATTTGTGTGCGGGTTTTTGACTGAAAGTACATTTTCATTTCTCTGTGGTAAATACTAAGCAGTGTGAGCTGGGTTATGCAGTAACATAAGAAACCGCTGAACTGTTTTCCAGAGTGACTGTACCGTGTTGCCTTGGACCGGCAGCACAGGAGAGCTCTGCGTCCTTGTAGTGCTGGATGCAGTCGGTGCTTTCTGTTGTGACCAGTGTGATGAAGGTGTGTGGTGGCACTGTGGTTTTCATTCGTGTTTGCCTAGTGATCATCACCGAATACTCCTCCGGGGTTTGATTGGCATCCTTGCAGCCTCTGAGATGAAGTGTTTACTCAAGATGTTGCCTGTTTTTATTTCCTTAAGATTTTATTTATTTTTAGAGAGGGGAAAGGAGGGAGAAAGTGAGGGAGAGGCACATCAACGTGTGGTTGCCCCTCAAGCGCCCCCTACTGGGGACCTGGCCCATGACCCAGGCATGTGCCCTGATTGGGAATCAAACTGGCAATGCTGTGGTTTGCAGGCTGGTGCTCAATCCACTCTGCCACACCAGCCAGGGTAGACTTTGCCTGTTTTTAATCAGTATTTTTTTTTTTTGAGTTTTGAGAGTACTTTTTTTTGAGAGTTCTTTGTAATTCCATACATCAATCCCTTGTACCTAATTAACTGTTTTTGCAAAGAAAAAAATTAATTGAGATGAAGTTTAACTTATCAGTTTTTTTCTTTTAAGGTTCATACTTTTTGACATCAAGTCTAAAGAACTCTTTGTTTTATGAAACCTCAGGTTATGATGATTTTTTCTACATTTTCTTCTAAAAATTTAATTGTTTTACATTTAGATCTTGGTTTATTTTGAATTAATTTTCTGTAAGGTACCAGATTCAGGTAGGGATCTTTTAAAAAAGATGCGTCTGTGTCATGTTGCCCCAAACCCATTTGTCAAAAGGATATCTTCTACCCGCTAAGTCGACTCCGCCTTCGTCAGAGACCAGACAGCCTCACCTGTGCGGCTGGCCCCGCCCTCCACGCTCGGCTCCCTTGATCTGGGGCGCAGCCCTGCGCCGCCCAGTCTCGGTCACTGTGAGTCTTCAAACCGGGAATGGTGGCTCTTCAGACTTAAAAAAACCTGTTATTGTTTTTGCTTTAACATACCTTTTAAAGAATATTTTACTTATTTTTGGAGAGAGGGGAAGGGAGAGAGAAAGAGAGGGAGAGAAACATCAGTGTGTGGTCGCCCCTTGTGCACCCCCTACCAGGGACCTTTTAACATACATTTTAGAATCAGTTTGCCTATATCTACAAATAATTCTTCTGGAACTTAATTAGAATAGCCTTAAATTTTATAGATCAGTTTTGTGGATAATTGACATATTTACTATGTTAACTCTTGTAATCCATGAACATGGTATGTATGTATTTGGTTATCAGTTTTTTCAAAATTATTTTTTATTATGCTACTACACTTGTTCCAATTTTTTCCTTTGTTCCCATCCATCTGCCCCCTGCCCCACTCGCTCAGGCAGTCCCCACACGCGCCCATGTCCGTGGGTTCTGAATATATGTTCTCTGGCCACTCTATTTCCTGTGCTGGACTTTACATCCTCATGGCTCTTCTGTAACTGCCTGTTTATACTTCTTTTTTTTT